TTTTTGCCAATCTGGTGAAGGGTAAACAGCTGTCTCTACGTTATTATAATTTTAATTTTCTGAATATTAGTAGTGATGAGTATAGCTTAATGTAGTTATTGCACATTCTTCATATTGTTATAGGCATTTCCATTTTGGGAAATTGCACATTTATATTGGCAATTGGATCAATATTTCTATTCCTTTAAGTTTCAATTTATATAAGTTCCCTGTATATTAGTGATATTAAACTTTCTTCTGTCTTTTGTGCTACAGATACTTGTTCCAGTCTTCCAATTTGTCTTTTTGACTTTGTCTTAATATCTGCCATTAAAAACTTAATCATGTACATGTATTTCCTTTGCATGGGAAAGATCCTGAAGGTCTCACCAGGCATCTTTCACTGCAAGGTTAAAAACTGTTTTTCTTTCATTTTCCTTTAATGTTTTTAATGCATTTTATACACCTATTTTGTTCATTTTAATATATCTGAAATTTGCTTTTGTACATGGTATGAGATAGATTTGTCGTTGTTGTTGTTTCCCAGATAAATAGCCAATTATGCCAGCACCATTTATTAAATAAGCCACCTTCCCCTGAAGTGAAATCCTATCATTTGATCCCTCAAATTTATATCTGGGATCCATTAACCTCTTTGGCTATTCCTGGGATAATAACATAAAATTTCTATTCTAATGACTTTGTACCAATTATAATATTCAATAAGATAACCCCCACTCTCTTTCATTATTATCTTAGCTAGTCCATGACTTCTGTTTTATTACAGTGAAAATACCGAGTTAATAAAACCACATATTATGCTCTAGGTAGCTTTATTTGTGTGCTGAGTTGATCCCCTTGAGAGCACACACTAATATTTTTATAAAAATTCTCTTCTGATTCTTTTTTCTACTTCAGTGGTTGCCAGCTGTTCTAAATATCTACTGTGGCCTTCCTCCCTCCCCTCTCTGAGTTTCCCTAAATGGATCATTTATCCTTATATCTTCATGGTTTTGTCTTTCCTTAGCAGGCAAGACAAATCTTTAGAATCTCTTACATTGTGATAATTCAGCAAAATGAAAGCATGTGGGCCAAAAGTGGCAATCTGATTCCTCTTTGTTTAGGCTCAGAGAGGACCAAGCAGGGCTCTCTAGAACTGTGAGACCCCGAGAGCTTTAGCCCACCAGGAAAACCAAGCCGAGATGAGCAGGTGCAACATTCCATACATGCATTCCCATCTAATGCCTGCTTTGCTTCCAAGTTTCAAAAGACAAGCTCCACTCTTCACAACTCATACCTGCTTTCTCTTTTCTTCCTGAGGCCCTTGTGATGACCCCTGAACCAATACATCAAAGGGTGTGTAAATAGTTGGTGATTTTTCAATAAGAGGAAAGACAGGAAGGACCCATGAACAGTGAAATAATGGAAAAGACAATGATTAGAAAACTAATCCATTTGATGACTGTAGTATCAGTGTTGTTGTTTCTCATTCAAAGTATAGTATAGGCTGCAGCACTAGATTTTTTTACTAGACAGTAATACTTTCCACATCCACTTTTCCTGATTTTCTCTCCCCTTGAAATATATCATCCCACATCCCATCACTTACATTCTTACCCTTACTCCACCCATATCGTTTTCTGTCCCGCTAATCCTCAGCCTCTCTCTTTTTAAACTAGTGTCTCTTCTTATTTCAGTCTTATTCTTTGCCAGTGTATAATCTTTGCCCTTTGAAAATCAAGCTTGGACCCAGGAAAGATGGCAACTGGAAGACAGATGTCCAGCCCATTTTGTCCTCCTCACAGTCAGACTTAAATGAACATCTATTGTCAGACCAAAAGACAACATTGAGCTTTGACCCATAGCTCCTTTTATTAGAAAATTAGTGTTATCATAAATTAGTAAATGAAATCCTGGCAGAACCCATTACTACCTTCTAATTTGGAAGGCTATGGGATAGTTGAAGAACACTTAAATTACTTGGATTCCTTCTATCCCCAGAAGAATCTATCCCCATAAGATCTAAGGGCAAACATGGCCACACCCAAATAGAAGTCAGCTGGTGGGAGAGCTTCTACTACTATGAATATTCTTGACATTACTGAAATCTATGATGTACTGGGCAGTGGTGTCACTTAGGAGGCTGTGCATGACCGTGTCATTTAACCAAAATGGAGGACAGAACATATTATCAACAGAAGGATTCTCCCTGGCCTGATAACTTCACCAAACTCAGAGAAATAATAATCATGGAGAAGTGAAATATTTTTGACTGCAGGCATCCTCAATGGTAGCAGCTCTCCCTATCTAGCTAGCCCTCATAGGCTGCCAAGTTACTAAATTTATAGCAAACAAAATGGAGGTTCTGAGAAGATTCTATCAGAGTGGGCAGTAAGGGACAAGAAAGAGACGCTTGCCATTTTGAGATTAAAAAAAAATAGTTTTGAATCAGTTATTTTCCTATGTTAGAAAACAATAATAAATAATGAAGTACTCAGAAATTAGAACCATTTTGAAAAAGATTCATTGATAGAACAATAAATTTCAGACAATATCTTGGTGCCCAAAATAAAATTCAAGGGACTAGGGACCTTAGGTAGCAATAGATAAGGGTGAGCTAAAGTTACCAAATAAAATGGAAAGGAAACTGTAGATTTGGATTTTTTAAAAAATGAAAAAAAAAATACAGGTATGAAGTTGCTTTTAGTAGAAGACAGAATTGACATTAAAGAAAACCGAACCAATGATGCAGAGAAAATCTTGAGTTCCGTATGTCCCCTGGCCCCACCC